GGGGGATCCCGAAAAAAAAGTTCGGTTTTTTTTTCAAAAAAAAGTTTTATTTAAAAAAACTTAAAATTACATGGGTAATACTTGACAACTTCTAGTCTTTTTCTACATAATTCCCGTCAATCTCAATACATTTTGTATATCTGGAAACAAGCTTCGAAATCCCTTCTGCATAGAAACTTCCCGCCAGTTCTTTAGTCCAGTTAGTTACAGCTGTCTGAACTTCCTCGTCGCTTTGGAAGCGTTTTCCGGCCAAGGACTCCTTCAGTTTCGTAAAAAGATGGTAGTCCGATGGTGCTAGATCCGGGCTATACGGTGGGTGGGTCAAAACATCCCAACTAAACTGATTCAAAAGTGCAGTTGTTGAAGCAGCGACGTGCGGCCGAGCATTGTCGTGAAGAAGGGACACACCAAAGGGATTTAAAATCTTGAGCAAAAAGAAACTGAATGATGCCGCGCAAAACAACTCGAGAAGGAATCGGAATGGAGGTGGCGGGACGTGAAGTGGAGGACTCCATTTTGATAACCTGACCGTGTTTCACGAGCTACTGACGCCGAACACCGCTCATTCTATTCGGTAGCTTCCCCTCTTCAATGCTGTGTTGCCAGCTCGCTCATATTAGGTGTTGGAATTAATTCGTAGCGTTTTTTAATGAAAGAATGTTATTTATTTCACATGAGCATTAAAAAATACATTAATGAAAGTACTTCCCATCACTTGTAAAACGCTACGAATTAATTCCAACACCTAATACATCGACCTTACTAAACGTATAATACAAACGGAACTTATTTTCTGGATACCCCTCGTATATATGTATGATATTTACTAATACATGTTATATTTGCAGTATACTTTTTTCATATTATATAAGATGTCTCAAATCAACTGTACACCCCTTTTATTTCGGAAGCAGAGCATTTTAGAAAAAAGCGTTTCAGACAAAAATTGTGGAGTTCTAAATGATCTATTCAGTGATCTGGTCTGACAAGCATTACCAGGGTCAAAGCAATGTCACTTTGAATTTTTTAAATGGAACCTTTTATTTTTTATTGCATATTCTTGTAGCACATCTCGAGAGCTTTCCAAAATATAATAAAATATGTTTTCATAAAGTACTTTTCGAGTTGAAAATTATAGTACGCCGGCATTTAGCATTACGCAAGCCGTCGAACCGACGGCTAAACCTCTTGAATGTTGTTCAGAATCATGTCCTGGATAACATTTGTCAAAAATCAAGGCCATTGGAGATTGTTTCTCTTATTTTCATTTTTGCACTGAAAATCAGGAGACACGGTAGTATCTCGACGCTAAGCCAAGTTCAGTGACACTCGTCGCCGTGTCTACGCGAGCCGGCGAGTTGCGGGGGATTATTGGATCTCAATAACGGCTAAACTGATCAAGTTTTATATACACTCAATCGATAGCTATCGGTCGGATTGTATAATAAAAGTGTTTTTATTTTTTTTCTGCGTGCCCTACGAGCGGAGATATTGCGACACAAAGTCCCGATATGAAACTTTTAAAATATGTCGTCATGTTTATTATGTTCATCATTATGTTCATTGCCCACTCGATATATATGAGGCCTGTTTTTTTTGGCTGAATTGGTGCAAAAGTTCAGCCAAAAAGAATAGGCCTATATGTAAACTGGCCAAATGTACTGTAGTGTTTTGGTGTGAGAGTGCACTAGTCGTCCAGTCCAATAATGTACTGTTGGACATTTTGACGCGAAAGTGCGTTACGTTAGCGTATTGATGCAACAAGCGCTGGCGGTGTATGGCAAACAAAATTATACGCTGATATTTGTTAATAATTTTAATTTTAATAACTCAACTAAGAAATGATAATGAAAAGAGATTTATTCATCGTCTTTATAAACATTGCGCATAAAAGAGTCACAGAAATATTACATAATATTATAGTGATATTCTGTAATGTATCTCAGTAATATTCCTGTGTTTCATTTTCGTGAACATTGTAATATTACTATGACATTTCAGTAATGTTTTAACAATATTTCTATTAGATTCTATAATAATATTGCAGTGGAAAAATGATATTGCTGTGACATTACGTGCTGTGTGGGATATTATAGCTTTACAAGTATGCATATTTATTTATGGAACATTTATGTAATGAAAAATCATGATTTTAATAATGTATTAACCAAATATTTATTTATAATAACAAATTTATATCAATTGTCGATAATATCAAAATTCTTCAATTACCTCTGGGTCCTTGGGGTCCAAAAATTTGTCCAAAGTTGACGATCTTTAATAATAAACTCGTCGATGGTATGAGTCACACGTACAACTGAACAAATTTGAAAAACTGAAATTAGCTTTTTTCGGGATTCGATCTTCAGATCTCTATATCGATTACGCTAATTTTATTCGGACTGATCACAATCCCATTAACATTGTATAATAAAAGATGTCAAAACTCTAATGAAGTGATAGCGTTGTGAATTTGACAACGAACACATACGCAATGTTTACGCGTCAAGTCAAACTATCAAGAAGTCCATTTTATATTTACGTAATTATTAAATATTTACGTATATTTTTACGTAATTATTTTTACGTAAGCATGACGACGCTACCATATCGCTTGACAATAAATGATGCATGATATTTAATAAAAATTTTGTTTTATATTATATATATCCTGGTAAAAATAAAAATCGAAGCGTAAGTCGAATATAACAGAAGCATAAACAAAACACTTCGAAGCGAAAATTGAAACATTAAAATATAAAAGACATGCAAAATGCTTCTTTTACGTTTCATTGTTCCAATTTTCGTTTTCTAAAAGTTTTTACATCTGATTTACGTTCCGATTTTTATTTTCATCAGAATAAAAACTTTCATTAAATATTGCTCGTTATTAATCATTCGGTAATTGTTTAAAATAAGTGCCTCACTTCCAATTTCGATGAAATTAAACTTATTCGATGTGGTTTTGACAAAATGACAGAATCTGGTAGAAAAAAGAGACTGCTTTCTGAAGCGAGATATTAAGTGCTAAGATTGACTATTTAGATTTCGAAACCTGTCAATCAACATATTAATGTAGTGAACTGCGTATGTGCTGTGCAGTTAATTGGCGTGATTGCTTGGCTGTGTTCCAAAATTTACTATCAGTATTAAAAATCTATAGTTTATGTTACGTGCACTATAAATTTTCAATATTGGCAGTAAATTTTGGAACACAGCCCATATTGATAACGTGCATGCGTTTTAGAAATCTCTCTGCTCTAAAAACAAATTCTCTGTTTTAAAAACAAAAATTATATTTAAAAAATAATTTGTGATCCGTATTTAGAATACGATTATAACGATAGTATGCTAATATGCTATAATTTACGTTGCGCATACTATAGAATTTCAGAGATAAAAGCAAGTTTTTATTGATAAAAAAAAGCGCGTTTTGAATATCGGCCTGTATCTTTAATACAAAAATTTTGTGTTTGTAAAGTAGAAAATATGATTGAGAATGTCATTGAGTGATTGATAAATTTCAACTGGTGAAATTTGCCTTATGGATAAGTTTACTGCTATTTCTATTTCCATCAGATTACATAAATCTAAAGTATCTTGATTGGTTCATCGGCTTAGGCATAATATTATGCTCTGCATAATACAATAGAAGTAATAAGGTATTAGGAATAAAGAATAAACGATTTTAATCTATCAAAAATCGGATACATCGGAATGATTTCTGATAGGTTGAAATCGTTTATTATTGCGCAGGGCCTTATGTTCACATCTTAAGATCACTGAAATATAATACTACTCCAGGTAGCAAAGTTTATCATTTTGACGTCAAATTCAAATCGTGTTTGTACAAATGACGTCAAGTGACCAAAAGGTGACCATAGATTTTATTAGATGTCATTATGACGTCAGTATGATGTCATTTCGTGACGGCACACTAACGTCATTTTCATAACTTCATTCCGTGATGTCATAAGTCACTTAGTTGGGTAATATAATGGTCAGTAAAAGATAGATACAAAGTCAAAACGGCTCATTGATGATGTCAATCGTTTGTAACATTCGACCATGAATTCAATTTGACTTTATTAAGACGTTAATAATAGTCAATAAAGGCCTAAAATATGACAAACTTAGTTACCTCTGGGACTGGAACGAGCGCTGGCGCTAGTTTCGCGATCTCACAAAGAACATTTCTAACCTATACTTAGTTATAACTGCACATGTGCAATACCGTCTACTGCACATGCGCAATTATAATTAAGTGCAGATTGAAAAAAGAATAAAGATATCAATTAGAACGCTCTCTCTCGAATCATTGTTAATAAAGATGACGTGAGGCAGTTCCAGTAGTATTACATTTCAGTATTATATTTCAGTGCTTAAGGTTACTGTTATAAAAATTTTTTCTGCGACAGCCCTAATGCATGGTCTACAATGAACAGTAGCAGTAGTGGATTAAAGAATAAGCGTAGAAATCGATCATAGTCGATTATCCTCCTCACATTCGACTATGATTGGTTGATTTCTACGCCCACTATTGCTACTGTCTATTGTAGACCATACACAATCCGTGATCTACAAAGGCAATATTAGTAGTGGATTAAAGAGTAGGCATAGAAATCGATCAATCATAGTTGATACAATATAATCAACTTTGACAATGAAATGATATATTTTATTAAATAACGTGACAATGTCATTAGTAGGTAATTAATGGTTTAAAATATTTATATACTTTTACATTTAACTTTGCTAATGTCATGAAAAGCAGCTTTTAGTAAGCATTGATCCAGTGTAGTGCAAATGATCAAATTCATTATCAAGTAATATGTAACAATGCACCCCCAAATCGCATTGTATCCGGCGTCAACATCCTGCCGGATACCGCCGCAGTGACCTCTGGTCACTTGTGAGCGATGAGAGCGCGGTGCGCTCGAAAAAGTCTGAAGCACAATTCACAGGTCACAACCGTTTGGCAAGAAGCCGAGAGCAATCGCGGAAAGCTGAATAGCACGTCTTTAGCTCGTATCGCAAATCGGCGGAAATCGCCGAGCGACGCTGTAACAATATGAGCGAGAGCAACAACCGAATAAAAGCCGTGCTTGTAGCGCGAGGCGCTCTCTTTTTTAACTACCAGCTCCGATTCCGCTCGTTACCACCAGCTTCTAGATCGATTTGCAACGCGACCTGGAGTAGAGCGTTCTTTATTTCCGTCGAGCGTTCTCGATAGTTGCCGATCGGCTTCCTTCGCGGATTTGCACCGATAAGAATCCGGGAGTAGAGCGTACTCCGCCTCCGTCGAGCGTTTTTGAAATTGATTGTAGCTGCCGCTGCATCCTCGTCGGCCTCAGCACTAGACCTAGATCAAGGGTTGAGTCTCAGTATCTGCCGAGCGTTCTCAGTCGATCGCTGAGCCTACTCTCATCGCGAACACACGCCTTGCGCGTCGCGTCCGCGTCTGTGTTACGTCGCGGCTGAGTATACTCGCGACTGCGAATATACAATAGTAAATTGGGGCGCCTCCCGCGTCCCGCGTCGCCTGCGTCCAGCGAGCCCGCGAGCCTACGTACGCGCTCACTCGCGCGCGCGCGCGCGCACGCACGCACGCACGCACGCACGCATCTATTATAAGCATTATACGCATACGCCACTACGTTCAACAAATATTCGTTATATTCGCTATAATCAATCGAGCCGATTTGTACATCTCCCCTCCTTGCCTGAATCTCTTTATTGCGTCCAACCCGTCTTCCGTCTCCGACAAGTTAGTCTGCATAAAAATC